CAAAAATTAGTCTCTCTTGAAAATACATCCCCTTTTAATTGAATTCGTAAGTGTTTTCACGAATAATTGAGAAAGTACTAAGCGGAATCTGTTGCAACAATTTTTTTCCATATCAAATATTGTTTTATGTGCGAGGTTCACTCTTTCAGAACTAATATGAGAATTCTAGTTTGGTTTTTTCAAACATAAAGGTAACGTTTTCATTCAATTGTTTTAATACATCAAGATTGTTATTGCAATGAAGGATTTGTGTATATGTGCATGATGAGAGTGCATGGATAAATTGCAGTAAATACCTAATTGCATATTCTTCCATCTCAATAATGAAAAATAACCATAATCGGTTCCTGCATTCATAATCTTCTCATATGATTCAGCTCATGTTTTCCAAAGCCACTAAGTACTCATGGAGATAAACATCGAATGTTTATTGACTGAATGCAGAAATGTAGTCATGCTGGGAATAAACAATTGTGAAGGTCAGGTTCGGAACTGGCTTCTTGACCTTAACCGTATACCTAGTGAATGTAAAGATAATTCGCTCTTTATGTTTATTCTTGTACATTATGTGAAACTTGATTGAAGCTGATGAAAATCGTTCCCACATGTGGAAGTACATCTTGGCATAACAATGTCTTTTCAAATTCACTTTTAAACAAGATAAGTTACTGAGATGTTTACTATGGATTGAAATTGGGATGAAGTTGAAATGAGAAGTTATTTTTCATTTATGTGCTAGGAGAAAATAAATAATTCGAAGCTTATAATACATGTTTTCTGACAGTTTCATCGAACAAATTTCCTTTACTGTTCAGCTCAAATTTTTTCATGAATTCATTACTATTTTTAGAAATTGTTAAACATCAAACTCGGTTTCTATCAATCATATTTGATATTTGCACTATCAGTTCGAATTTGTTATGAAGAATACGAGAATGATGATCAAAATATATTATAAATATATTATTGTTATTCGTAATTTCATACCGACGTTCAAATAATTCACTTAATCAGTTGAAAAATACTCTCATCCGTTGTTTCAGTGATGAATTTGAGTTTCTCTTGATCAACTGAAATCCTGGATCCTAAATTAGGAATAATCCTGAATCACTTTCATTCATAGTTTGTTAGAAGTACTGCTGTTCAGGTATGAAGGAATTTGAAAAGTTTCAAATGCCATTTTATTCAACTTCCTCGTTTTTGTCATTAACATTTTCTATTGAAAATCATTTGGAGAATCATAATTCTGCGGAATCAACTCGTTTTTTGCCTTTAGTTAACTAAAATGCTTTTATTATAATATTCACGAAAGAAAATTATTATTGGAGCGCAATACAGAAAAATTCTTAAGGCGCTCTTAGAGCGGTGCCTGTGCGAAAGTAGCGATTCACATTGGATTCGAATCGCTGAAGATTGAATCCATTTGGAAAAACGTTCCCAGGAAGTTTATTACACATAAACGCAGTTCTACAGATGAGAGAGTTCTTAAACAGTAAACTTCGAGGTGTACTGAATTGAATCTCAAAACGATGAGCAGCAACAGTCCGTCACGGAAGAATGCTAACTGAAGTAGTGAAGAATCCGCTCAACAAATCTCAAATACTGTTTTATTTGTTCAAAAATTTCAGTTTCTTCGAATAGTTATTATTGATGACTGATATTAGATATTTAGTGTTGAGAAAAGAAGTCCTTAAGGGCAAGTTTGTATCTAAAACAAAATCTAGAAATTTACACATTTTTCTGAAATATTATATACGTTTTTCTTTTGATTGTTTTCTGTCAGGACGATTTTTCTAGAAAATTATTACTTTTAATAAAAATATCTGGACGTCACTCTATTGACTGGAATATGAAAATTTACATCTAAATTGTTTTTCTTAGACATAACTGTTCTCCAACAACATTAACATCTACGCATTCGTCTGTAAGACAAATGCACAAATAAACTCAAAAAACTAGTTTCAAAAATACTTTCACTACAATATCGGCAAGTAATTATATTTTATTGAAAAAAATATTTTTGAAAAACACTACAATGCAACCAAAAGTATCAAAATTTCATTCATGAAAGACAATTATTCTGTGTGTGTGTGTGTGTGTGCTAGGACTGGCTAATTTAGTTTCGACTTGCAAAAGATGAAGACGTATTAAGTAATTCATTTCAATGGGCTTGATTCAATCAAGTTAAATATCTCTTGACGATTTTTAACTTGATTAGCGAAATGCGCGTAGAGAGAGTATTTTTATTCTGGATGAAAAATATATGTTTGAAATATGTTTTTTCCGTCAACCAGCTATCGCACCCCTACGAACGACAACACTCAGAAGTCGAAACTTGTGCGAGATAAGGACTAACGAGGTCTTACCTTTTATCGTAATTCCTAATCAGCAAGCCTAATCCTAGCAAATGAAAATCGAGCGTTCAGCCTAAGGCTTGAACCGTCGACTCACACATCGGCCGATTGACTGAGTGAGCAAACCACCCACGTCGAACCTCCCCCCTAGCAACCTTCCGACTGATTGATGTATTTACTAAATATGTATAATATTTCATTTCGAAAAACACTCTAATCAATTGATTGCCCTGCAAGTTATGTATATAAAACCCTTCTTTACGCTCATTTATCAAATGCTGACTAAGTTATAATGAACTTATAAAAGCTACCTATCTTGAAGGAAGAGTCAGTCCTGTTAGTACGATTGTTAGAGAAACTTCTATACGACAAAGTCCGTAAATCCAACTGTACGAGAATTGAAAATACCTGCGTATACCATGTTGACAACCAAATTTCAAAGGAAGAGTGTTCACCAAAATTATTAATTGGTAAAACCGACCACTAATGCCAGACGATTCAAATTCAGTTAGATCAGGATATAATAGAATCTGTCAACTATGCCTACATTATCATCATCCCCATTGATAATATCATGATTGAGAAAACTTGTAAGGAGCATGGATACGAAGAGATCAGACAGCCACAGTTAATCCATATCCCATGTAAATGTAACCTCACTGTTAGAGGCGAAGTTTATTCCAACGACGCCACTTCCGTTCAAGGAAACCCTCTACAGTTACCCGAAATAGACACTATTCAGCTACATCCTGAAAATAACCCCATGAAAGTTCCTGAAAGAGTGAACCTCGACGAACTAACCCGACTTCAGGACCTCGTTGAAAAAACCCAATTACAATTAGTACGATTGTTAGAGTAACTTCTGTACAATAAAGTCCGTAAATCCAAATGGAGTATTTTTAAAAAGTGGTTCCCGTGGCCCGAAACCATAATTTGCATCATAATATGTTACGAATCGAGCAGTCGATATAGCTCGATTTTTTTTCGGTAGATTTCCATTACTCAGTTTCATACAAATATTGTTTTGAGAAAAGTTTAAATTATCATGGAACTATATATGTACTAGTAGGTCCATCATTCGCACTTATTATATCAACATTCTCGATATCAAATCAAATTTTATTTCTGATTATAAAATTTCCACGCCTCAATTCTCATTCAGAAGATTCATGATTGCTTCTTGAATTGATTTGCTGAGGATTTCTGAGCTTTCGAAAGCATTTCATATTAACTTCTCGGCATCATGTGGAATCTTTGATAAATAAATATAGATAGCAAAACAATATTTCGAATGACACTTCGATTCAACAATACAGATTATTGGAAAAAAAACTGTATTCAAATGCTGCCTGCGATCTAACCGCTATAAATGGAAAGATATAGCACAATCTAGATTCATAGATACTTCTCTTTCACCATTAAAATAATGGTAGGAAAAATGTTTTCAATTTTTGATAATAACTCTAATACTCGTAAACTATGAATAACAAAGGGATGGTTTTGAGATTACTCGAAAGTTTTGAAAGTCAAAATGACCTGAAAAACGTTGAATACTGTGTAACTTCGTTCATTCAATTTTTTTTGAGTTTTTTTTTTCTAGAGTTATTTATCAAATGCATCCATGTTTTGTGGTGGTCAATAAATTATTCATATATTTCAACTCACGATTACTGAACAGTTTTTAACATGCTCCAAACATGTATATTACTTTTACTCAGACGTGCTAATGGTTTACAAAATAGATTTTCCAGATAATATTATTATGAACACTATGACCTATTTTTTTTACTTATCGCGATATCATTACTTTACAGCCAATGAAGTGGATACGAGCTATTATTTCATGTGTACAATTATTTGTTGAATATTTATGAGCTGTTAAAACAGACAATAATGTGAAATGATCTCTTGAATGACTATACATGTAACAATAACTTCATATCGGAAATATACCGGCAGGCAGATAAAAAAATTGCCTTAATGAGTTTTTAAATATACACTATCCAGAAAATTGGCCTTTATTGAAAGGTCTACCCAAAGTAAAGTTCATTTTCGTTGCTACTCGCATTTCAAAGGTAAAGAGGAAATTTGTTCAATCAATTTCCATACATAAAGCTCTTCAGAGGGTAAAAACATATCGGAGCGGTGTAATTAGCCTCGCAAAAAATATCTGTAATATGCTAGAGTGGATGTACTGCTTCAATATTTTTTTAACCTCGGTAGTTGAATCCACAATGGATGGTGTGTATTCTGACTCAAAATACTATCTGTGCCTCCACTATCATAGATGGTACTTTCAAGATCACCTCACCTTCATCTTCAGATCGTTAAAATAATGATCAGGAGGAGACAATCCAAATGACTGTGAATAAGAGACGAAACAATTGTCATTGATTTTTTTGTAAATCTTTGATATACAATTTGTTTTCGTTATTCTACTAACAAGAGCTATTTCACCTCCAGAGAGATGAATAGAAGAAAACCGCAATTTTAGGTCTCTCTAAAAAGAGATGAAGCATGAAATGAAAATATATCCGATACAACTCAATCGAAACTTGAAAATAATCGATCACTCTATAACTACAATGACCTCACTCATTATTGACATCATTATTTTATTTTGATATATTATGGTGAGATATTTACCTGGTAAGATTTGGCTGTGAAATCGATGTTTCCTTTGCCGAAATTCAGCAGTGCTTCATCAGCTGCAGACACCACAATCACCGCCAATAAAATCAGTGCCACTCGACTCATTCTTAGTCTACAACAAAATCAGTAACAAATTATCGGACGCGTTCAAAAGTAGAGCAAAATCACATGCTTATCGTCACTTGTGTTACTCACCTTCCTCTGAACGAACCACTTGTGTTGAAGCTTTAATGAGGCATACTTTTATACATTTAACGTGTTATTGTGCAGCCATTGTGGATTTTCCCAACTAATAGCTCGTTTGTGAGCGATTTAAAAATTGATATGTTAAAGAAGTAGTCAAAAGTAATGATTCATATGATGAATAATTCATTTCGACATGAGCTGGGAACATTGTGAATATTTATTCGAAATATAGTCACAACCAAGTTCGTCATTATTCAAATTTGACCATAAAAAGATAATCAATAGATTTTCCTTTATTTAAAATCAGTATTGCTTTAGTCACGTTCGATCAAATCTCGCTGTGAACTAGCCAAAAGTATTTCAGTAATAACAGATATCACTAACTAACTGTCGATCACCAAAAATAATCTGTTATATAAATTTTTAATTGTACTTTGAAGCCGTGTTTATTTTTTTCATTCATATTTACAGGCCATCCATTCTAACAATCTTGTTAGTAGTTAATAAAAGTCCTCTGTTGGATATAAGGCACATTCTTTCGGATTTAGTTGTGGCTATCCTTAAATAGGTAACCTCCTAGATATAATGCCTCAAATTCGCATTATCACATGATTCGGATACGTTGCATCTGATATCATCATTATGTGACTCTTTCTTTATTCAAGTCATCTGTAAATGAATAGTGTGCAACCTTGTTATTATTCTGAGCTCAACCCTGCTATTCTGATGGAGATATTTTCTGTTCTTTTTTCTTACAGGTTCACAAAAGATGAATTCTTTTGTGAAAATTTTCCCGTGTATATATTTTTCAAGCATCCTTTACATTTCCCATTGATCTTTTTCCCAATCTGATTCCATATCATCGAATTTTAGTAACCTCACCCCACACTTAACAGCTATGTACTGTTAGACTGTTCCTGTCCTACTTACAGTTTTTCAGTCTTCCGCAGGATTCCCAGACCAGTTTTGATGTCATTCTGGGTTTCAGCGACGACCTTGGAAAGGTCTGGCTGTCTCGTTGCCAATTATATTTCTGCTTTTGTCCCATTTCTAATTTACGAGTTAAATATACTGACCATATTCTTAAGATAACTGTTCATCATCCATCTTCACGATTTGTGATTGTGACTAGAAGCAGTGCTATCTTCAAATGCTCACCTTTGAAATTATTGTAATAAAAGAGGTTATCTTTGATTTTGAGGTTATAAACTATAATGTTAGTCTGTTCTGGTAGGGTAATGAGGAGAAGCGGCTTCTTTCGATTTATCTGCAAGAGGTCACAATACCAAATTTTGCATTTTTTGCATAAAATGCAAAATTTGGTATTGTGACCTCTTAGTTTAACTCTTTGGAATTTTTGACCACATGGACTATCTTTGAATGCTTTGCTGAATTCTAGATTACTTTAATTTTCATTTCAGATTACTTCTTCGTATCTCTATATGTATAGAGTAGGGAGGGTGAGTGTATCCCACCTAGGCCACATTGTCCTCCTAGGTCATCGTCAATCCTGTCCTTTCCAGGAAGGTGGACAGATCACTGGGAGACATCTCCTTTATATCGGCAGGTGTAGGCCAAGACTCGCCGAACACACTCTCTCTCAGGCTTGCCACTCACGTACAGTTTTAACTGTGAACTGAAATGTACACAAAAGTGCAGTTCAGTTGTTCATTCTTTCAGCTTTTTCCATAGATTCGAACGGGGACGACGATATGACCGCGCTCGGTTTAATCTTCGCAATGTTAATAAAAAAAAGTGTAAACAGTGGTGTGAGAAGTGGCTACAAAAACGAAATGCATCTTCCCACATAAATTTATTGAAAGAATTGAGGGAAGTGCCATTAGACTATCAAGTATGGACAGTGTCAGTTGAAACCGTCACACACACTCAGTTCAGATTGTCATTTCAGTAAAAAATATGAAAAATTTTATTTCTTTCAGTTAAACTGTACAGTTGAAAAATTGATGTTGAAATGTGACCAAAATAGCCACACACGTACAGTTTCAACTGTCAGTTTTAACTGCACAGTTAAACCTGTACGTGAGTGTCATGCCTTATTGACGATAACTCCAGACACGCGCATAGGGCATGCTTGACAGTTTCACCTTCCTGTTCCTGCATAGAGGTGTGTTCACTAGCCGCATATTATGGAGGTGTTTCCTTAGTTGACAGTGGCCAGTCATAAATCCTACTGTTAAGCGTAGATTTTTCCTGGTCATCGCCACATATTTCTTCGGCGCCAGCTTCCCAAGGGTGATCCTTCGTAATCTTAACTTATAGAAGGCGACAAATAAATCATGCAAGCTTGCAGTAAACTGTACACAGTGGGCAAAATGGGAAATTTTTAAAGGGAAACTCCTGTTTTCAAATTGGATAGATGAAAACTGATGGCTGTATTTGAAGGTCAAATTTTATGACAAATTTAATGGTGGGAATCGCATATCGATATCTATCATGGTTTGTGAGTTACAGCATGTTTTCCAAAAACGTACATTTTCAAAGTACATTTTCAAAAAGTGGCTGTAACTTCTTTCCTGTCAAAAATTTCTTGTTTCAATGAAAACATTCAGCAGTAAAGACACTCTTCAATTAGCGATTTTTGTTCAGTTTTCAAACACATTCGCTATGAAGTATGAGAATTATGAAGATTGCGAGACAACCTAATTGATGGTGTTCAATTTCAAAAGAAAAGGGGATGAGGATTTGGAAGAAATAGTTGTTTTAGGAGCTGTTGAAAATTATCCCAAAACATCAATGCTAAGTTTGAGATCAACAGACTTACGAAGAACTAATGTTAGGAAGATTTGGAAAGAACACAAGTTCAAGCCATATAGGACCAGAAGAGTTCATCAACTCAGATCGGAAAATTTTGAGAGCCGCATGGCTTTTTGCCAGTGGTTCCTGGAAAGTTGAATAAGTTGTTTTTGGACAGACGAAGCTTATGTGAGCAGTGCCGGCATTTTCAACCGCTATAATTCTTATACTTGGGCACAACAAAATCCTCATTCTATTGTGGAGAAAAGAAGTCAAGAAAGACTTGGATTTAGTGTGTGGGCGGATGTTTTCAGGAGTGAAATTATCGGCCCATCCATTTATAATGGCATTCTCACATCTGAAAGGTATTTGTGAATTCCAAGACAAAATATAGAACCCTTTGCTGATGAATTGCCACTAAAGAAACTCATCAATTTTTTGGCTGCAAATTTTGGTAACCGAAGACCCAACCGTTGGTCGGCCAACCATTCAGAAAATGTGTCGCCTGTATGTTGGAGAAGCTGGTAGATATTTTGAACACCTTCTCTGAAGAAACATATTTCATTGTTTGTTCTTTATCATTATTCTTATTATTGTTGGGGTTTCATTTATCAGTATATATTAGTAAATATAATATCAAATGTTTTCAGTTTTATTGAAACTATACCTTTTAATTATTGGTGTGAAAAGCTTTCTCATCATTTGATAGCAACTATTGTACAATTTCTTTGTTATATCGCCACGTCGTCCAAATCCTACTTGATCAAAGTGTGCGTTTCAAAGTCTACATGAAAAAACCTGAAAGCTCTGTATTTCAAAGATGAGTCTAGCAAAACATCAAGGGTGCTACATTTTTGAAATGATATTTTAAACTCTATTGAAATATTCAGAAATATATAGGTTGTCTCATTAAAAATAGTTTTCCATCAACAACTATTGATATCTCATTTGAAAAAAAAGTTTTTTACAAGATTGAATTCTATGTAAAAACGTGATTTGGAAATGTTTCCATAGAAATGAAAAATGTTTGACAAAAAAAAATTCACAGCAACTTTTTCAAAATGCACATTTTCGAAAATATGATGTTATGTTTAAAATATGTTTTTTCCGTTAACCAGCTATCGCACCCCTACGAACGACAACCCGCAGAAGTCGAAACTTGTGCGAGCTAGGGACTAACGAGGTCTTACTTTTTAACGTGTGATTCCTAACACGGGTTGTACGATAGCGTGAATATCCAGCGTTCAGCCTGGGGCATGAACCATTGACTCACACATCGGCGGATTGACTGAGTGAATAAAACACCCACTTCGAAACGCCCGGATACCGACCGACCGGCTACCGACATGCTGTAACTCAGAAACGATGAATAATATTGATATGCGGTTTTTCACCATTGCGTTTTACATAAAATTGGACCCTCAGTTTTTATCTAACTAGTTTTCCTTCAAAAGTGTTCAATTTGGCCCACTCTGTGCATAGGCTAGAAAAACAATGCAAGTTTCCTGAAATATCAAGAATTTCAAAACCAATTTAAGCAGGAGTGGCGCAAGGATCAGTACTGAGGATCAGTACTGAGACCGCTCATAGTTGTTATCAATAACTTGATTTATCATAGACTACCTCAGTGTATTGCACTGCGTACATTTTCTACAATTTGAGCTCGAACTCTGAAGACCTTGAAAAAAAAAACTCTCAGTACAATTATTGAATGGCTCACCTTCAACGATCGTTCAAAACAGTACAGAAACGGAGATACCTATGTAACACCGTTTGAAATATACTTCGTAGGAGATGAACTATACTTGGTATATACAGTCAATTTTTTAATTATGCTAACTTGATAAGTGCAGTTCTGGTGTGTGCGGAAGTGATGGACTCGTTATGCGTCAGAAGTTCCAGTCCTCCTTTCTTATGTTACTTGTGTTGTGATGCACTGTTTGGAACCTTTGGTGTAGTAATGAACATTACTGGAGGTTTTCCCAACACCAAACCGTTATTTTAACATCTCAACACGTGTTTCGATCACCAAGTGATCATCTTCAAGAGGAAGATCAAACTCTTTTTTTTTTAGAAAAATAATTTATCAGAACCAAACCAACATCGCGGTAGGTATTATTCAACAGATTTTTGAGCTTGTTCGGCTTCGACGGGAAACGCCCCAACTTCTTGAAGTAGCTTCTTCTTCTCCTCCAAGTAGTTTTTATATCAATCTGTAATCCTTCTTGACCTCGACGGTGAGATATGGGACACGTGTTTCAGTGTTTCAATTACCAAGTGATCATCTTCAAGAGAAAGATCAAACTGTTTAATCTTCCTCTTGAAGATGATCATTTGGTGATCGAAACACGTATCGAGGTGTTAAAATAACGGTTTGGTGTTGGGAGAAAACTTCACTAATATTCATTATATTAGGTACTTGTTCCATCATTACTCGTCTATAATTTGTCAATCGTGAGTTAGAGTGTATGTTTGGAAGTAATTTTTTGAACTTCAAGAATATATCGAAAATGGTTTCTGACTGAATTATTTTGACTTCGGATTTACTACTTTATCTCAATTGTATATATTGAGAGTTTTTTGAAACAGGTTTTCGACGTCTTTCGAATCCCCACATTCATGATACTACATTTTAATATGTATATGATTTGAATATCAAAGTCATTTTTTTTGAATAATTCGTTTTTGTATCGTTATCGAAGTTGAAAATGTTTTGATTAAACAAGTATTTTTTCTTTTGCTCCACTTCACTTTGCGAATTCAAAACAACTACGATTGTGACAATGTTTACGAATTACATGTGGCAAGTTTTTCAAAGAACTGGTTTTTCAGCGAATTGATTTAAAAAAAAAATATCATCGTCGAAAAATTTTACACTTTCTAACATTGTTTCATCTCAGTCGATCATTGAGTGTAAATAGCCTATTTATCCAAGATGACTATATTCTTCGAACAAGAAAACTCAATAGGTGTCTGCAGTTGCACAATACAGTCAACAGTAAAAATGTTCACCATGAAATCTCAGATCAGTTAAGATTAATTGATTGAATTTTCATTGAGAAGTTAATGTTGTTAAAATCATTTATGCACTACAATGACGGATCCCAGAACTGGCTAGAACAAATATGGCAATACTACACTTGCTTTTTAAGTGATGTGTCAGTATCTAATTTAGCTATCTGCTCCCAAGACTCAACTAAACAATACTAGTAATCCTAGTAACCTATTTACCCCTACTTTTATTATCCCATCGCCCAGCCTGCCTTGTCGACCTGACAGGGCACTCATCCTTTTCTTTCCCCAGTTCCTGCCTCCGCTGTACGCCGCAGCTATCTTCTTTTATCCTTTCATTCGTTACTGACAACATTTTCCGCCCATTCATTCACGAATCTTATCCAATCGTCTCTCTTTCCATTCCCTTCCCTGAGTGTAATCTCACCTTTTTCCCTTTCCATTCTTTCTTTCCATTCGCGCCATCCAATCCTGTCCCCATCCATACATCTCTCATACATACATCTCAATCACGTGATCTGCCGTTTCCGGTTCTCCGTATCCACAAGGGCATGGCACTTCCGGTCCCAGGTTGAACCTAGCTAGGTATCCTGGGAAGTTTCCGTGCCCTGTCAACAACTGCACGGCCTTCCTCGACAGATCCAGCGGTTCATGCCCAACTGTTTTACAAAACTTGTAGAACAGTCTCCCAGTCATTCCGCTCTCCCATTCCCTTTGCCAATCACTCTTGATGCGTTCCTTTATTCTCTTTCATTCTTCAGTCTTACTGCCTATCCTTCTCACCTCCCATGTCACATTCTCTCTTTCTAACCCCTTTGTGGCTTCCTCGTGCGCTTTCCGATTGCCTTTGTTGTTGGCTGAGTGTCCTTTTCTCCATATAAGTCCTGTCCGTGCTCCCCTTTCACTCCTCTCCTCAATTTTTCTCTGAATCATCACATCAGGACAGTATGGAAGTATCATTATGAAAATAGGAATCATCAGAAGAAGAAGAGGTGAAACCAAAGTTGTTCTCAATTATACTGAAATTTCTTGGCAATGTTTTTCATGTAGTTCCAGTAAGTTACTGTATATACTGCTGAGATTATCAATGTCAGTTTTCTTATTCATGCAATCAGAAGACTTATTAATTTCAACCATTTCAAGAAAAAGCCGCTTGGAAATATTTTTTTCTGTATGTAAAACACAACACTCTATAGAAACAGGACATAAACCAAATTACTCCAATATCAAAGTTTTGAAGAAAAGAATCAGTCCAGTCAGCACTAGAAGACGATTGTGGATATTAACAATCGAAAAGTCGTGAAGTAACATGGCTTGGAATCTCTTAACTTTTTTAATTTTAATTTTATGTTTTGCTCAATTTGTTCCATTTTCACTTATATTTTATTTCACTATTATTTCATTTCAGGATTTTTTTATTAATATAATTGTTTATTCAGCTAATCATTTTTATTCTTCTTCTTTAATTTTTAATTTTTATTTTTCAGTTCTTTCAGGGATTTCAAATCATTTTATACAATGGAAGTCCGAACTAAATAAATTCATCATGAAACATTGTCAATCAACACTGTATGGTGTAAAAAATACTTTGTCATATCAATCACGGCGTGCTTTTCATACTTTGAGAGTGAACATGAAATGGTTTGATTTTGAGTACGAGTTTATTTCCAATCCACCCACGAAGTTAGGTGAAGAACAAAAACAATTCTTTACATCACAGGTAGTATGAATTGCACTGGGATTACCAGTGTTATTCTATATGCTCATGAATAGTTGATAGGTTATTCTTCATCGTATGCTTTGAAACCAACCAACGGTGTAAAGATTCATTATCATCGTATTTCATTATGAATATACATATTTAATGATACTCCAGAATAAGTCCTTTGAATAATTCATCATGTATAAAAATCAGGGCTACCTTTATCAAAATGTAAATAATCTGGTGAAGTCTGATGGCTACGAATCGTATGGAAATTTGATGAAATCATTCTATGTATACAATAAAATCAACAAAAATTTCCAACTGATCAGGCGATGTTGGTTGAATTGAATAATATTGAGTGAGAAAAAAAAGATTCATGAATTGAAAGTCATATTGTGGGACCAAATATATTTGAACAAAAGATTGTTGAGCATTGACCTACTAAATATAATAACCATTAATTTTGATAAGACATGATCAAAATGAAAGAAATAATCTATCAAATTTTAGTAGATGTGCAACGGAAGAAGATTTAGTGGAACCTCTTCAGTAGCAATGTGACCCTTTCAAATTTCCAGTGGGTTGTCAGGAATTTCGAAACCTCATTTACTCTGTTGGTAGTTCTAAAGTTCAAGCGATTTCAAATGAGTTCGATAGCCGTTTAGTGTGATTAGTAGGTCATTGTTCGTTTCAAACACACGTTGGTAGATAAAACTCTGCTACTTCAATTTTTGTGCCAAGACCTTTCTAGGACCTTCATCACTGCCAACTCAGTTCCATTTCATGTTCAAACCTTGAGTATACATTTTCGACTTTTGTGAACAAAAGCAACACTGATCTGCTAGAATTGATATTTAACCCTGTTTAATCTAGATAAATTTTGATTAACTCAAGGTCGTTTTTGAGGTCAATGACTGTGTTGTGTTGACTCCTTACGATCTTATGCATTCGGTCTTATGTGAGCGGCAAAACTTTGTGACTTAAATTCATGCTAATGGTATTTTGTTATCAGGTTACTGACAACTAGCGACCATAACAATAATGTAACTCTTTGAAGACAATGTTTCTGCAGTGACTCACATACAAAAGCAAATGCAGTATCCATACGAAGCCACAGTCAACAATTCACTTGGAATATTTAGGAACTTTAAAAATGGAATACAGTGAGTACAGTCCAAAATATGTAGTCTATCCGAACCAATGGTAAAAATAATACACCAAAACAACATAGATTCAGAAAACAATGTTTACGCAACAAAATGTAATTTTAAAAAACTCACAATCAAGTGTTTTGCAATTTCTTTAAAAATATTCATAATGATTGAAATAAGAATTTCATTATATTCGACTGTTCTTTACCGTATTATTGACTTGTGCATATTCTGAAGAATCACCTAATTTCAATAGTAGGTGAATTGAAGAATGTTTTTTCAGTTAGAGAAATGTGGAGCTTCGACAATCCTGGTGGGAAATTCTAATTGTCAGTATATCAGTCAATTGAAGATAACTTTTTTGAGTCTCTCTTTGACAGATTTTCAAAAGCACTTTGAACAAATTATTCAATTCAATATATAAAGAACAATGTTCATTCAGATTGCATTACTACTTTGACTATCGATACAAAAAGTGAATAGAAAGCTGAATATAGGTATTATATTTACATCGAAGTACAATGGTTTCGTTTTTGGTTATACATTTTTGATGCTTATTTTATATTTTTCGATTTTTATTGTCAAGATGTATGAAACGAAAATTTCCATCTATCAAAACTTTTCAAATTTTATAAATGTGATAACTTCAAATAAAATTCTGAAAACTTCTGTTCCATCTGCAATTACAAATTCATTCTCCTTTTTGTTGACGAAGACTTTTTCTTATTTTGACGTCTCTTGTATAAGTCCTAAGAGAACACGAAACAACAATCGTGAGGTTGGTTCGAGTTGTAATAGTTTCACACCCCTCCTTCTTATTGATCTTCTGACACACTATTTCTTCTCTCTTGTCTTTGTTAATTATCTTGTAACATCCGGGTCTGCTTCTGTTTCTGACACCTTTGCAATAAAGGACCAAGACTTCATTGTTCTGAGTTCGAAGACCAAGACAGTTTCTGTCTTCTTTCAGCCATTCCGTACATGATTGAAACAGATCGGGATATTCCACTCTGCGGGGATTGGGAAATAAACGGGGTTGACTCGGGGTGTGAATTTTGAAGCAAAGGCCTGGTTTATTTTCGATTAGGTGTAGATCTGCGAAAAAAAAATGACTAGTTATAGACAATAATTTCGATAATTTCTTCATCTTCTGAAGACGCCAACTTGGCTACAACACTGAAAATTCTAACATTTTGATTCGAATTATTTTCAATTTCGAAATTAACTGAAAAGTAATCCTCCTCAATTTCATACCATTCAACTCTTTACCTCCTCAATCAGTCTGTAAAAATATTATATTATATATATATTCCAGTTTTCCAATCCGATATCTAGCAATTTTCATTTTCCAGTATGCGAAATATTAGACAAAACCTTTTCTAATTTGAGATTAGAATTTCAAATTTTAAATTTTTATTTCCCTCATAACAAAGCTACAGCTTCAGAACATGTCACAAAATACGATAAAATTAACATATGCCCAAAAAGTAAAATCTTCAGAATATACTTAACTGTGCAATAAAAATAATAATACAGTACATACATACAATCGTGCAAGGCATCTTTGCACTATGGTCCAGGGAATGAATGGAAAAAGTCATTAATACCATATAGGGGATTTTCCGTAAGTAATGTCTTTAAATATTTTTTGAGTTTAGTAAAGTTCAGAGAACGTACTGTGACAGGTAGAGTATTGTACTTTTTAATATCAATAGTATCGTCCATTCTTTGTAACCGGAATTGAGGTATAATCAAATTATCATTATTTCTAGTATTGTGACCGTGTATATCGGACACAACAGAGTAACTATTGATGTTTTGTTTGACATATAGTAACTTTACAGTTACTATTAACAAAGTTTCAAAGATTGGTTATTGCAGCGGATTGATTAATGAGTTGTTTAACTTTTCTTATAGCAAATTTAGTCTATTGCAAATTGTATGTACATGTATGTTTTCCTTAGTAGCCTGACATCTACACCCAGAAATTCAATGTGCAGCATGTCTAGATCATTTTCTACATTGTAGGATATTCTGGATTCGAAAATGAGACTTTTGGAATTTTTTTCATTCAGTATGAGCTTGTTTGTCAAGAATCAGGTTTTTGCTTGTTCCATAACTTCTCCAAGGATTGTAGCCGGACACTCCCCTTTATTGATACTGATGCCAAATGTGGTGTCATCAGCATACATAATTGTCTAGATATTTGAGGTGAATATATTTGGCAAATCGTTAATATAAATACTAAAGAGAAGGAGGCCCAATATTGAATCCTGAGGGACTCCTCTACTTATTGTCTGAGGAGTGCTTCTCCTGATTCTCAATACAAACTACTTGAAATCGATCAGATAAGTAGGATTTGATTAGTTTGAGTGCCACTCATCTTATTCCGTAGTACTCCATTTTCCTTAGTAGTATGTCATGATCAACACAATCAAAAGCTGCAGTTAGGTCTGTGACGATTCCCAAAAATTGTTTGTTTCTTTCAAAACTGTTTTTATGGCACAAGTTAATGACTTGATAGCATCCAAAGTGGACATATTTTTCCTAAAATCATACTGCTGGAGACTCAGGATTTTGTTCTTATCGAAGTAATTGACTAGTTGATTATAAAGAATAGTTTCAAATATTTTTGAAAAGCAAGCCAAGATTGATATTTGCCTGAAGTTTTGAAGTTCTGGGGATCCTTTTTTATAGATTAGGGGGATTCTTGCCAAATTAAGCATTGAGGGGAAACATCCCTCATTCAGAGAGGTATTAATGATATTTTCAAGAACGTCCAACAATAAATGACCACACTTTTTAACAACATAGACACTTATTCCATATATATCCTCAGTCTTTTTATTTTTTAACGTCTGTATCACGGCTGGAATATCATATCTATCAATGGCTCTAAAAAACATTGGATATCCAGTATTATTAGTTTTGCCTAAATATTCTTCTATATTTTTTGAACTGTTTGGTAAACTGTTTACTATATTTTCAGCATGAGCGATAAATGACAAGTTCAAATTATTTAAACTTATGTTTTTTGGATACACCCTTTGTGTATTTTTTCCCTGTTTTAGTTTTTATGATGTTCCCAATAGTTTTACTGACATTTCCAGAATGTTTAACCTTACTTTCATTAAAAGTTTTACTTGAGTACGTTAACATTTTAGTATATAGATTTTTACCAAGTCTATATACACCTTTGTTATTTTCGGTCGGGTGGTTTTTATAAAAGTCATATATAAACAGTATGTACTTGCTCTCTAGCTCTAAAAACTTCCAGTGTTACCCAGTTTGTATTGTTAGTTTTGTATTGCCCTATCAAAGTTAAAGGAATGGATTTGTTAAAATGGTAAAAGAAAGTCTCATGGAAATTATTATATTTTGTATCAGCAGTTTCTTCAATAAACACACTACGCCATTTCTCAAGTTCCAAAAATCCATTTAATTGTTCAATATTATACAGGGTCTTTCACGACGAGCGTTCGCTAGGAATATATGGAGAACAATACAAAATAAAAACTTGAAATTTTGTGGTAGTGGGTTTTACAAAATGGCCTTCCCAACTAAAATATTTCCAACTTCCGGTCTCTTTCCGTTATACCGGAAGTTGAGGGCAACTTCCTTATTTCAAATGAAACATCCTATATTTTATTACATTTTTCAATTTCTCAGCACATTTTAGGCCCACTTTATATAACAATGCCTATACCCAAATTTGTTAGTTTTCGAGATATTAATTTTTTTCTGAAAAATTTGACAGTTACAGCAACACTCCAAAAAAATCATAACTCATAGACAGTAACAGTTGAAAATGTGAAATTTCACAGAATCATACCTTAAGCATCAAGTCATGAACAAGTCCATCGAATTTTCGAAAATAATTTACAGAGTGGTCGAAATTTCCACCTAAAACATAACATTCTATTATTTTTGGATACTACGAAAATAATATATCAAATTCATGAAGAATGTCCTATACATAAAATACACCCCTGGCAAGATATATCCGATTGTGGAAAATATTTGAAATGTAAATCATTCGAAGCAATACCAAACCAAGAAAGCTTTGAAAACAAATGAACTAATTTTAACTCTGCCGTTGGTAAAAGGTAACTCAACATGAAAATGGATGGATTGAAATAAAATACTATCAGAGAGATGAATTATATGTTTGTTTTATTGATATCGAATACAGTAATTTTATTTTGTTTATATTTTTCAAGGTTAGATTTTACTTTAATTTTAGAATTTAACTTAATTTCTTTAAATTCAAATAATATTGCGGTTCATTTCAACAGATGTTCAAAAACATTGCCATTTTGTTCTAAACAAGAATATATTATTTTTTGCATACCATTATTTGTAGCTTTCTGTATGGAGTCAGGAATCAAATTATTGAAAGCTCCCAGAAACCTTCGTTTCATATTTACAGTACTATGTGCAGGGGCTCCATCCATCTGATACCATAACTTGAAATGGTATTGTTCAGAAAAATGCCTTATGGATTCACCAACCACATTCTTAATTACCTATATGCGAATATCTATCGCTATTCAAATTCTCTTCATAAAGATATAAACATACAATTCGGTATTCCTTTATAGCGCAAAAAACATTGAAACTTCATGAATCCTGGAAGTTGCGCTGGCGAACGAGCTTTTGATTTTCAGCTGCCCAAAAATGACTATTATGGCGGTTGTACATACCATTCTTGGCAAATTTGGCTTTATCTAGCCATGTCATGTCTTCATTAACTCAGGGTCCTCTTGTAGCTTGATATGAAACCATTCGCAGAATTCCACTCGTGCAGGTAAGTCGTGAAGTTTCAGATTTTGAACCTGGTAATATTTAAAGAGACGTCACTTATGTTTGATTAAAATCCGGTTTATTGACGAACATTCTAAGTGACTATTCTGCGTCTTTCAACGAATTTTCTGGATAGGCTGTGAAGTAGGCCAAAACTACAATTTCGATGTCCTCATTGTTTACGAGTGATTTTTTTTTGTTGATGACAGACGAAAAAGATCCCAAATCACGACAGTTTCTTAGAAGTCTTCTCAGAATATTTTCATTGGGTCTGTGTAGATTTGAAAATCTTTCTGCTCATTATCTCATTGCAGTCACCATAAATCATTATTGAATTCAGGAAATCTTCATTAGAATACACCAAACGAGACATTTTGCACACAAATAGAAAACTACGAAATACACGTCAATTATATCGCATCAAATTTTGACATATTTGTAGTAACTTCATTTGTTTTCAAAGCGTTCTTGGTTTGGTATTGCTTCCAATGATATACTTTTCAGATATTTCCCAAAATCGGATATATCTTGCCAGGGGTGTATTTTATATAAAGGACAATCTTCATGAATTTGATATCTTTTTTTTCGTAGTATCCAAAAATAATAGAATAGTGTATGGTTTCCACTTGAAAAAATCGTGTTTCATCGGTTATGTTTTGGGTGGAAATTTCGACCACCCTGTAAATTATTTTCGAAAATTCAATAGACCTGTTCATGACTTGATACTTAAAGTGTGATTCTGTGAAATTTCGAATTTTTAACTGTTTCTGTCTATGAGATATGATTTTTTCGGAGTGGTGCTGTAACTGTCAAATTTTTCAGAAAAACATTAATATCTCGAAAACTAATAAATTTGGGTATAGGCATTGTTATACAAAGTGGGCCTAAAATATGCTGGGAAAATAAAAAATGTAATAAAATACAGGGTGTTCCATTCGAAATAAGGAAGTTGCCCCCAACTTCCGGTATAATGGAAAGAGTTCGGAAGTTGACAAAATTCTAGTTGAGAAGGCCGTTTTGTAAAACCTACTACCACAAAATTTCAAGTTTTTATTTTGAATTATTCTCTATATAGTCCTAACGAACGTTCGTCGTGAAAGACCCTGTATTGGGAGTACAGCCTTCTGCTATTTTTTATGTGGTCGTTAACCAAGAGACTCACATTGATCAGTGCATTTTTATCTTCAGTGTTGTTGAGATGAACATTGAACTCCACTGCAATCACCACTCTGATGCAATGATTTGGGTTATCAATAAAATGAAGTACCCTAGTGTTAGGAATCGCACGTTAAAAGGTAAGACATTGTTAGTCCTTAGCTCGCACAAGTTTCTCAACTTCTGAGAGTTGTCGTTCGTATGGGGGCGACAGCTGATTAACGAAAAAACAGATTTTAAACAGATATTATATGTATGAAACTATCTGAATTTTTATGCTTGGTGGATCTATAGACAGAAAGAACTACTGAATTCAATTGTTTTATATGACAAGCAGATATTTCACATAGTTGTTCTTCAGACATCTTAACAACATTTTGAAGGTTTTTATTATTTTTTAAGTAGGCTCCTATGGACAAATACAATGGAACCACGTCTCCTGATATTATTTCTTGAATAATAGCTGATACAAATAGAGTTTTCAAAACTCACCGATTCCAATTCATCTTCCCGTAACCAATGTTCAGTAAAAGAGACTATTTTTATTTTGGGGTGTAACAGTAAGAGATGCTTCAATACCAAAATTTCATTTGAAATATCTTGCACGTTTGCATGTATGATTGAAAATATAGTAGGTTCACATAACCCCAGACCATCAGATACAACTTTTGCTGACTGACATTCAATATGTAAAGTCGAGTTGTTAACACAAGTGTTTGTAATTGGGTATCCATCTAAGGATTGGAAAAAACCGATTGTACACTACTGAAGGAGCTGTTCACTACACCAACATTTTTTTGACGAGCATTATCTAGAAAATGTTGACCGTTTTTAAAATCAAACCGTTCAAATGTTACACCATCTGGCCAGAATGATTGTTCATTTATAACATCCTTGAATCGGGGTTCTACACCAACTAGGGAACAGTTATTATCCTTTCTTGTGTGAAAGGTTTTTAATAATCCAACTTCAATTTCAGTCATATCACATTTTGTTTTTCTATGTATGTATTTCTTTACCATTTCTTCCGTCACATGTTCTTCAGCCCTTGATACAAATATCCAAATTTTTCTATTATTTCTGTTTTTACCTGAGTTAGTAAAGTCTCGACCATCAAATACAGTTTCAGCTGGATTTTTCCCTCCAACATTAGACCCCACAAGTTTTGTTCTTTTGTATCTATGTTTCACTACTTCTGTGAACGTTTCTTGGTCATTTCGTATTGTGTTCGAAATTTCAGGATTCCTACCATCTGATTTATGTTGACTTTGTTTGTTTTTGATCACAGGTACGTCATGTATGTAGGGGACTTTTGAAATAGAGGACGTTTGTGGCCTATTGCCATATGTCAATGGAGGAATCAGCGGTGTAGCAGCTCATCCTGTTAAAAGTTTGATCATTGGAACCCTTCAAGTTTATGACTTCTTGTTTCGTGTTTTGGATGCCATCTTGTAATGTAATTTTTAAACCTAGAATATCTGCTTGTAATGGTTTGACAACTTCATCTGGTATGTCCTGTTTCATAGCTGCTTTTATGCATTGTAGTTCATTATGAAAATCTTTTATGTCACTCAGAAGAGGTTCAGTAAATTTATCATTAATGCCTTCAACAGTGACCCATTTTAAGAAAAATATTCAATGCTTCCTCAAGTTTATTTGAGAGTTTTTTATCTTTTTTTGAATTTCAATGAGTGTAGTTTTTTGAGTAAGGATATAATATGTTGATTGACAGTCTATACCAAATATATCAGCCTTCTGGTTGACTTCAAGGTAGCTGCTCTGTATTCGGTAGTTGGCAATTTCGCACATATTTGACACAGTTTACAATATTGGGTTTAAAAAAATCTGTTTTTCCGGTAACCAGCTCTCGCACCCCTACGAACGACAACCCTCAGAAGTCGAAACTTGTACGAGCTAAATACTAACGAGGTCTTACCTTTCAACGTGTGATTCCTAATACGGTTGTTTCAAAAGTGTTGTCCATTTTAATGTCATGAGTCTTTGTAGCTCCACATCTCAATAACTATTTATTTGCCAATATTTCCTTACAAACCAACATATTCGATTATTTTTCGCTGGTGTAAACATGTACCTTTTTAATAACTTTTGGGATGACATTATAGTCTTGATTAGCTTTCAACGTGTGATTCCTAATACGGTTGTTTCAAAAGTTTTGTCCATTTTAATGTCATGGGTCTTTGTAGCTCCACATCTCAATAACTATTTATTTGCTGATATTTCCTTACAAACCAACATATTCGATTATTTTCCGCTGGTGTAAACATGTACCTTTTCAATAACTTTTGGGATGACATAGTCTTGATTCTTGTCGCTCTAATACATTTCAGTTTCACTTATTTATCTGTATTGCATTGATAGTCCTGATTTCCTGGTGCGATATATGTTTTGTTAAGAAGTTATCGATAGGACAGATAATTTACGTTGAGTCGTTTCTCTGAACTTTTTTATTTTTCTTTATGAAAATTCATATGAGAGAGCTGTATAAAGTATTTTCATCCATGATGTGGGAAAAATAATCGAAAAGGGAGTGGACGCATATTTTTTTAGGATTGCTGCTCTTAACATTTTTATGGAACGAAGATGTTGATTGACAATCTATTTATGTTTATAAAATATATCTGGATGAAATGACACTACAGAAAATGCATATTGATGAGTTAACAACAGCAGTTACTATAAACAAAAAACAAATGAACATTTTTTTTGTTATGCACAAGTTATGAACAAATATTCATTAGGTCACCACATGTTTTCTCATATACCCAAAACATCTATGCAAAATCAAGTATTCATCATGATTTTTGTATTATTTTTAAGGATGTTTTGGTGGAGTGAGGGTCATCCAAGTCTAATTGAACTTCTTTTCATAATTGCGGAAAAATATTCATTGAATGAATGTTCAAATCCATATTGATATCCTACCTTGACATTTTGTATAACCAAAAATCAGAAAACACAAAAGAACCAGCACTATCACATTGTCCATATTGCTTTTCTTGAAACTGAAAGGTGAACTTATAAATCTATTGACAAATGCATTCATAACTGATTGTGAGTATCCGGAATTAGTTATGTTTCTCTCCCTACATTGCACTACTTGAGATTGACCTTCAGCAAGCAGAACAACTTATATGGATTTATGGTTTGAAAAAAAGTTTAATTGCCGATTGCCATTTACATATCAATTTGAACATGAGGTAGAAAATTGTTGCTTGTAATGGGGTCACTGTCATCATTATAGACATAGTGTTGCCGACTGATTACAAGTTCTTTGTCAAACATAAGATTGTCTCATTTGATAATTATGTAATGTACAGGGTTCTAACGATATTGATCCTTTCTGTGTGAAAATGAAGTAATATCGAAATGGTGAAAATGCTATGGGTTCACAGAACCCCAAAAATATTCACAGTGTGAAGGCACGTTACGTTACAGCAACTTCTTCTTCTCTCATTTGTGCTCCTTGCTTCTTTAGTCAGGCGCATTTGACCAGTGCGCCTCGATGGTAGATACAGTTCAACTTGCTTGAAACAATACCGTACCCTATATGTAGCATTACTTGTTATCTGTTGTTTTTTTGTCAAAATTTTCGTGTGTGCAATTATATAACAATTATGAATACACTGACACGTTAATTGATGAAAGTTAATAATACTATCTATGATGATAATCAAGCAAATTTGAAAAATGATTTTTGAAGTGAAGCTTCTTTACGTGCACTTGATTTGAGGAGTAGGCTGATGAATGCTCAACAAGAGCGTTACGAAAAGTGTGATCGGGCGCGGCGAGCGCTTGACTTGGAGAGTAAGATGGTAACGAGAGTGCTTACAAAGTGTGATCGGGCGAGGCGAATGGAAGTTGAGAGGGAGGTATAAGTTTTAGTGAAGATTGAATGAGAAAGAGAGAGCTTGACTTGGGAAATAAGATGGTGACAAGAGTGCTTACGAAGTGTGATCGCGCGAGGCGAATGAAAGTTGAGAGTTGAGAGGGAGGTATAAGTTAGTGAAAATTGAATGAGAGAGAGAGAGAGCCTTAGTTGAGGAGTAAGCTGGTGACCCCAAAAATATTCACAGTGTGAAGGCACGTTACGTTACAGCAACTTTTCCTTCTTCCATTTGTGTTCCTTGTTTCTTTAGTCAGGCGCATTTGGCAAGTGCGCCTCGGAGATAGGTACAGTTTAACGTGCTTAAAATAATACCGTACCCTATATGTAGCATTACTTGTTATTTGCTGGTTTTTTGTCAAAATGTTTGTGTGTGCAATTATATAACAATTATGAATACACTGACACGTTAATTGATGAAAGTTAATAATACTATCTATGATGATAATCAAGCAAATTTAAAAAATGATTTTTGAAGTGAAGCTTCTTTACGTGCGCTTGATTTGAGGAGTAGGCTGATGAATGCTCAACAAGAGCGTTACGAAAAGTGTGATCGGGCGCGGCGAGCGCTTGACTTGGAGAGTAAGTTGGTAACGAGAGTGCTTACGAAGTGTGATCGGGCGAGGCGAATGGAAGTTGAGAGGGAGGTATAAGTTTTAGTAAAGATTGAATGAGAAAGAGAGAGCTTGACTTGGGAAATAAGATGGTGACGAGAGTGCTTACGAAGTGTGATCGGGCGAGGCGAATGAAAGTTGAGAGTTGAGAGGGAGGTATAAGTTAGTGAAAATTGAATGAGAGAGAGAGAGAGAGAGAGCCTTAGTTGAGGAGTAAGCGGGTGACCCCAAAAATATTCACAGTGTGAAGGCACGTTACGTTACAGCAACTTTTCCTTCTTCCATTTGTGTTCCTTGTTTCTTTAGTCAGGCGCATTTTGCAAGTGCGCCTCGGAGATAGGTACAGTTTAACGTGCTTAAAATAATACCGTACCCTATATGTAGTATTACTTGTTATCTGCTGGTTTTTTGTCAAAATGTTTGTGTGTGCAATTATATAACAATTATGAATACACTTACACGTTAATTGATGAAAGTTAATAACACTATCTATGATGATAAGCAAATTTAAAAAATCATTTTTGAAGTGAAGCTTCCTTATACGCGCTTGATTTGAGTAGTAGGCTGCTGAATGCTTAACGAGAGCATTACGAAAAGTGTGATCAGGACGAGCGAGCGCTTGACTTGGAGAGTAAGATAGTAACGAGAGTGCTTACGAAGAGTGATCGGGCGAGGTAAATGGAAATTATGAGGGAGGTATGAGTTAGTGAAAATTGAATGAGAGAGAGAGAGCTTGACTTGGGGAATAAGCTGGTGACGAAAGTGCTTACGAAGTGTGATCGGGCGAGGCATATTTCCAAATATAACCCCCTAAAATAACTCTGAATCGATATTTATTTATAAAAACGGATAGTGATATCATGAACCACATATATAACATCAAAAATACATGAAATGATGTATATCTATGTAAAATTCTAGTATACTTATGAAACGCGACACAAATGCACAAATTTTTTTGCCGTCCGAAAAAAACAAATGTACATATTTCCCTCACACAGTATAAGAGTGAACTGAAGTGACGTTAAGATGGAGATATTGCTCTCGCGATCCTTCTATTTTGTTCGATAAACTCTTTCGTTCGTTCAATTTTCCAATATGGCCGCTGTGACAACCAACCCTTGAGACAATCATACCCGATCTCCCCTAGTTACCCCATTTAATTGGTTAATGATTAATGAGATAACAGACGGAATCTAAAAAAGAATTTCAATCTCAGGTCTTGAACACCAGGTAAATTTCGAATATGAATAACTCTTGGCATTATGAAAAAAGGTTCAACAATGGTGAGTGGTCAACCTCTTGTTGGTCGTTCGATTGAGAATTCGAATTTTCACCCTTATTGATTTTCAGAGACTCCAGCATGTTCAATTTATGTCCTTTATTTTCTGTATACAAAATGTTGCAGTTAATGGGTTCTCTATTGGATTTGTTGATCTGTTTGTAACCCCTAGACCATGCAAAGAAGTAACTTTCAAACACAAACTGAAAGAAAAAGCCCTCCTAAAACAGTTACTTTCATATAAACATTGAATTACATACATTTTGGAATACAAACTGAATAGAGAAAAGTATTTTTTGTATAATTCACTATTCATATGAAAGTATGTTTATAAGAAAGTAGCTGTTGGAGAAGACGTTTTTTTCCAGTTTTTGTCTGAAAGTTAATTTTTGCATGATCTACACATCTTTCTATAAAGTTAACTTCTTTGATATTGATTGCTTCGTTTCTTCCTTTGGAAGATTCTGACACCTTTTTGTATGAAGAATGCCAAAACTTTTCTTTCCCGAATATTTTGACAATCGTCAAAAGAAGAATGGCAGTCAGGTTTTCTTCAGTGTTCATTACTTGGAAGAAAAAATTCCTAATGGTGTGAATTTCCCATTTCCTCGAAGAATATTGTGACAATATAGAAAAAATGTATTTGTACGATATTAACTTTTTCCTAACGACAACCGAAAAGCATAACTCAATTGGATTTGGAGTAAAGATAGTAAAGAAAACCAAAAATTATTTCATAGAACTTCAAAAACATTTCAAAATGAATAAACTAATAACATTGAATATATAAAAGGTAAACATGGAGAAATATGAACAGAAAAAATGTTAATATTATGAAGACTTTATTTCTGAGAACTCTGTGGAATTCATAAATAGAAGGATGAGACGAAGAGATGAAATCATGGAAAAATGAAAGGATAGACAAACTAACATCGTAAATCGTAAATGATGAAGACTATGAGATCTGCGGAAATGAAAATAATGCAAAACGAATTATTTCATTGAGCATGGGTATGAAAGTTTACGATTAAAGCATATATAGGAAAATGATATCTATAACGAAAACGAGGAGAGAACCTCTAGGCGGGTTTTTGGAAAAAATGAAGTATTCACTAGAAATCTTTTGACGAAATGTCTATAAACACATAGAATTATCTGACACAATAAACTAATCCAAAAAATTAAAAAAATAAATGAGTATGACAGAAAATAACAGGAATATAACAGAAATAAGTGCAAATCATGATATAATAAATATATTTTCATTAAGCATTTATATGAAATTTGAATATGAATGTGAGAAAATTCAGTAATCGATAAAATTTGAAATACACTTAGAAATACACATATAGACCTACACTTTCAAATTCAATATAACTCTTGAATGATCTCTCATACTTTTTTGTAAAACATATAGTTCGTTGAAGTTCTTTCTTCCAAAAAATATTTGTTTTGCAATATTTTAGTTGAATGATTGAATATATATAAAAATCTTCAATCACGTATCATTAGTTTTTTAACCATAATAATTCCTGGTTCACTTCGGTCGCAATATACCTCAATAGCCAAATTCCCAGGAGTTTTTAATATCTCACACATATTCCTCTGAACGTATTTCTGACAAACAACACTTTGATTCAAATCCTTGTTGAAGAAACGGTAGCACCCTTTTTCTAATTGTTGACCATCGTTTTCACAATGCACTATTATAATTTCATTCGTGATTAACTGCAGACCATAGCATAATTTTTTTGTTGGTAGCCTCTCAACACAAGCTTTCGCTAGGTTGCTTAGGTCAATAGGTTGTTCATCTATGTAGCTGTCGAAACATTTTCCTGAAAGTGGTTCAATAGGGTGGAGTTCTGAAACCAAAAAAATGTGGATGAGTACTTCATATTGATTTGCGATTCGGATGGAATTTAAAAAAAAAATGTTTCCAATGTTTGTTCAAATTATCAGAAAATTAACCCAACCCGAGTATTTGAATCTTAATGAATCAAATTACACAATAAATAATAGTTCCCCTCATTATATTATAGATTTTGCATATATCATTGAATATGAGAACATAAAACTTGAAAATTGGAACTGATGATACTCAGTTCATTTAATATAGGTTGTTTCAAATTCGATCATCATCATTGGGATCTCGGAAACTATGAGAGATTCAAAGATGGTTAATTTGGGGCAAAGTTGCGCATTCACCTGACTAACAATATGCCGTTAGTAGTTATATACAGTGTTAAGACATCGGAAATGTATTTAAACATGCATCCCTAATGACGACAACCACATCGAACTATTTTCAAGTTATTCGATCAAAATCTCACCGAGTTTGGTTCATTTGAAAAGCTGAGACAGAAATACGGAGACAGAATGGACCAGGAAACTAAAGAAAATTCAATAAATGAGATATGTATAAGGTAAGTTAGACATTTTGTCCTTTTCAATAAAAATTAATAATTTGCAGATAAACATGAACCCGTGGTAATCTACACCTCAAATTTCCTCCGAAATGAATATCTGTCATACAAGTGCTTGGAGACATTTCAAAAAAAGCGGTTTAAAATATTACAAAATACACATATCTCAAAAATTGTATCCAGGTGATCCCGAAAGGCGATTAGAATTTTGTAATTGGCTAAAAAGGAGACCTGATTTTCCTGTTTTCCTGGAAAATGTAATTTGAACGAATTGTGGGATATTCAACCGAAATAACGAACATATTTGGAGCATAAACAACCCCAGGCAGTTCCGAGAAATTCGACCTCAAGTGCGAATTAGTATTAACGTGTGGGCAGGAATTTACATAGATAGAATTTTGGGTCCTCATTTATTTGACGGAATTCTGAATGGAGAAACCCATCACCAGTTTTTAATGTCGATTTTCGAAGACTATTTGGATGAATCTTCGTATCTCTCATAGTTTCCAAGATCCTAATGCTGAGGATCGAATTTGAAACATCCTGTATATTATTATCTGGATATGCACTCATCCAGGTACGTTCAATGCCTAATTTTAATAATGTGTTTTCTCAATGGTCCGATGTCTATGCGTCACACCTCACTATTTTGGAAGATCCTAGTGGTTTAAAGTTATGGATCTGATCATTTAATGTTCTAACATGTTATATAAATATTGAGTAAATCCAGTGCATTCTGTAGTCTCCCAATTATTGATATAAACCTTGTTCGAAGCGAACATGAAAGGAAGGAACAAAAAGTCATTCCGCAGAAAGTATTGAGGTTAAAATAATAAAGTGACAGATTTTGGTGACCTAGAGTTAAACACCATCACTTGGGAAATCGAAAGTACAATCTCACAAATGTAATCATTCAGAAAAGTGGCAAAGAAAATAGAATACCAAATGAGAGAGTGAAATCTAATTCATGTTGAATATTTTTTTTTCCAAAAATGTTGTCAACTCAGTTCCATTGGATATGAATTTTAAAAAATGTTTCTTTGACTTCATCTTTTGAATAAAAAATATGTATTTTCACCCATCTGGATTCGTCGTCTATAAAAATGGCAGAATATAAAACATCTCTTACTGATTCAGTCTCCATAACGACAGTCATAGTCTTTATTATCTACTAATAATGCAAACTTGGTTAGAAAAACGCGCGTCGACAGAAAGTGTCGAAGTGAGATTTTTCAGTTTGCCTTTCTCATTCAAAAATGTTGGGATCAGTACATAAAAATATCACATTCAGACCTTTTTCCATAAACCACAAACACAAATTATTTCATCAACCGAGTAATTGTGAAAGAGGGTATTCCAATCTCACATTTTGTGATTTGTTATTATTATTGATATTGATGTTTATCAAACGTTTGATTGAGTTTCGTCTCCAGCAAAAATCTGTCGGATTTTATTCCTTGTATTCATCGATTGATTTTATTATTGAAGCTTTTGCCTACACATTTTATGCATGCTTCAGCAATTTTTTACAGCACTCTGATCCTTTATGGACTCGTTTGTGATAACTGTTACACTGCTACATGGGCTGAAAAGTTTCGGGCCTGACACATATATGGCGACAGTATTATTGTATTTACCGCATTTTCAGTTAGTACTAACCTTCAAAAGAAAGTTGTTGAAATTTCATAACATTATATTAATAAGTTTGTGAGTTATTATGCTAAGAGTGCCACTGCTTTTGTTATTTTCAAAACAATGGATAAAAAACAATTTCGTGTTTTGGTTTTACAGTGCTTCTTGATGGGAAAAAAATACCGTTCAAGCGAAACAATGGCTTGAAAAGTGTTATAAGGCCTCCGCTCCATCAGAAACAACAAATAAACATTGATTTGCTGACTTCCAACGTGGTCGTAGAAGACACCAATGATGCAGAACGCAGTGGACGTCCAAATGAGGCAGTAACACCAGAAAACACAAAAAAATCCACAAAATCATTTTCAATTATCTAGAAGTGGCATTGCGTGAGTTAGCTTAGATAGTTAGGATATTAAAAAAAAAACGTGTTGGCTTTATATTGCATAAGCATTTGACTATGAGAAAACTCTGTTCAAAGTGGGTGCCGCGCGGGATCACAAACAAGAACGTCTTGATGATTCCGAGCAATCTTTGGACATGTTTAAACATGTGATGCACTGTTTGGAACCTTTGGTGTAGTAATGAATATTACTAGAGGAAGATCAAACTTTTTGATTTTTCTATTGAAGATGATCACTTGGTGATCGAAACACGTGTCGAGGTGTTAAAATAACGGTTTGGTGTTGGGAAAAAACTCCGGTAATATTCATGTTTGAACATAACAAACCAGAAATTCTGCTTCGATATGTGACAATGGATGCATCATCACTGCAGTATCAATACGATCGTTATCTGAGTGAAGAGCAATTGGTGAATCTCGTCCAAAGCGATGGAAAGCACAACAATCGGCTAGGAAGGTTATGGCCTCGGTATTTTGAGATGTGCGAAGTGCAATATTCATCGACTATTTTGAGAAGGAAAATGCCATCAACAATAACATAACGTTATTGTAGCGTTTGACGGTCGAAATTGCGGAAAAATGATCCATTTGAAAAAAAGAAAGTGCTGCTTCATCAAGACAATGCAAAGTGTTACAAATGAATGAAAAAGATTGCAAAATTGCATGCGACAACTGGCTGTTCGCAGACCTCAAAAAAAAATTCATCAGTAAGAAATTTCGCTCGAATGAAGAGATTATTGCTGAAACTGAGACCTATTCTGAGGCAAAATATAAGTCGTTCTACAAAAGTGGTATCTGTATCTCTGTATCTATAGAGTAGGGAGGGTGAGTGTACACTCACAGCACTTAGGCCACATGTGACCCATTATACATCCTCCAGAGGAGTTGTCCTCCCGGATCATCGTCCAGCCTGTCCTTTCCAGGAAGGTGAACAGGTCACTAGAAGACATCTCCTCAATATTGGCAACCTTGAGGTGTCTCACGGTGGCCTCCGCAAAGGTTTCGGAAGGTGCAGCAATATTACCGTCGATGCGCGGCTTCTTCAACCTTCTTGGGGTTCCCTCCGTGGAGGTGCATAAGTGAGGGAGCTTTCCTGCAGGGGCAGCCGGTTCCTTGCCTTCATTCAAGGCAGAGCCCTTGGCGCCCACCGCAGAAAGTGCCCTTGCTGTTGGATGTGATCTGCTATGTCCAGCCTAATTCCAAGCGGTAGATTGGGGTGGACATTTCTGTTCATCCCCAGCCACCACCTTAGATTGAGGTGAGCACTTCTGTCCAGCCTCGGGATTGGTTTTTGTTGTTTCATTCATGTGTAAATCAAATTACAATCATATCAGACGATGGGAGTGCAGACTAGTGAAATTCACCATGAAACAATGTTAATCACTCTCAAACATAATATATTTTCATTGGAAATCTTTCGCCCTCTCGGATTTTATCATAGAATTGGATTTTTTTTTTCGCTTTCTGGTTTTTGAATAATGTGAATTGTTTTCATTACTATTTCATGTTTTGTATTCATCAAGAAGTTTTATAATAAAGATTTCTAAGAATTGAAAATTGTTCTCTTGATTATATGACAGAACAAAAATTATCATTAATTTTTGGTGCAGTGAATTCAAGTAGATAATGAATCATTAATTATGAGAACATCAAAGAATTTAAAATCTGGGCTGTTGACTGTGAGTACGAGTTATAACTTCAAAATGAAATAAAACGATTTCAACCATGATATTTTGAGAAAAAATTGAAAATTTCTAACTTCATATTTTGCGTCATATATCAAAAATCATGTTAAGGATGTTGTTTTCTATAACTGGTTGTTCAACGAATCAGCTATTTCAATCCCGAATATTCCATAATTTTCAATTAGAAATCTCAGATATAAAGATATCCAAAAAAAGCACTGTATTCGTACAAGAGCCAAAAAATGGACTTCATGTGGTAATACTAGTGATTAATTTTTTTCTAATATATATTTTTACTAACCTCGACTGAGTGCACAAACCATAGCACAAAAACCTAGGGAAACAGCAAATGTAAATTTCACCATGATCATCGATATTTTTAATTCACACTAACTGCTTGGAGTTCAAAAATGATCTAATAATATTCTTTGAATTAAATTGTGAATACAACAGTAGTTAACACCCATTACTAGTTATTTTCATGTTATGTTTGACCTTCTATTGTTTTGTTTCACTGGATGCTGCTGCGTTGATGAATTTTTATTGAATACCGATTGACTTTTTTGAGAAGAGTGCGGGCGATAAGGGAATTGTCACGTATAGTTTGGGTGACAAGATCAAGTTACAGCTCGACGAAACAAATTTTTTAACTATCTGCGACCTAACAGCATCCGGATAGTATTCTCTATATTGACGAAGCAACCGTTAGTCCTGTTCATTTTTTTGAATTCTGTTGTTGTTATCGTTACTTTTGATAACGCTTAGAGCAGGTTAGCATCGAACTAAAAAGTTGAAAATATTTTTTTTAAATAAACTTAAACAATAAGGAACAAAAAATACTGGTATTATTGTGAAAGAAGTGACGGGCGCTTGGTATACAAAAAATATGGCACAAAGCGCCTACGCTTTTTTCACAATAATACTAGTATTTTTCGTTCGTTATTGTTTTAAGCTTATTTAAAAAAAAGTATTTTCAACTTTTTAGTTCGATGTTTTTCAAAAGCGTGTTTTTTAGTTTTTTAAAACTATATTTCTCTTCAACCTTTTAGTTTCATATGCTGTATTTTCTTTTTAACTATATTTATTTTTCACTTTTTAGTCCGATTTATTGTCAAAAATACAATTTTTTTTCAAGTTCTTGTCACTAGTATTATAAATCTTCAACAGACGCTGCACGAAGGTAAAATTCCTCTCAAACAACATAATAAAGTACAAGGTCTCAAATTCTGTAGTAATACTGGGATGCAGTTAGTTTCCAACAGAGGGTGGGTAGTTGTAAAATTTGTTTCGAAGTAAAGAGAAAATTTGCAGTGATAATTTCAAAAAACAATTCAGTCTAGGTGGTTTGATTTGAAGTTTAACTCAAAATATTGATTGACTAAAAATATTTTTTCAGTAAATAATTTTATTTTTCAAATCAATCTTTTGATTTGATATGTATGTCAAGCACCTTGATTCTAATTTTTCGATTTTTTGAAATATTTAAGTAACTGAATTTTTTAGGTGTACAATTTACAATAAAGTTTTCATTGTTGAAATCCATATTCTGGTTTGCTTTCAAATTATCGAATTAGATTTTGAAATTCATCTTCCGTTTCGTTCAAAATTTTTTTCTGTACTAAATCACTGGTAATTGAAAATATTTAAATATCCAAATATTTTATCTGTAATACAAAATTTCTCTAACACTAATAATTATTAAAATATGTTTTTTATTTTGCTTTTTTTTGAACAACCTATCAAGGATGCGCCATCTGCACGCGAATATATCAAGAAATATCAAGGAGGTTACGTACAGCGCCATCTGCCCGCGAATAAATCAAGCAATAATGTCGATATATCAAGGAGGTTATGTACAGCGCCATCTGTCCGCGAATAAATCAACCAATAATTTATAGAGAGATAAAAGATTGAGATGGAAAGTGTCATAGTTGTAAAAATGATTATTTTTATGTTTGTGACGAGCTTTGTCTTTGTGTGCTCAGCCAGCCATTTGTGTTGCAATTTATAGGCATATAGGAAGTTGTTATTATGTAGTAGTGAAATTTTGTGATTTTGATCTGGTTTCATTGTTTTCTTCGTAATCAGTTTGTGTTATTTGTGCTTTTAGTAGTTATTAGTTTGCGTTATTTGTACTTTCATAAGACAGTGAGTGAGTGAGTTGTGACAGAACATCGAAAAAAAGGTGAAAATATATTCAATGATTATATTTGAAATTTCATGTTATTAAATCCCTTCAAATGTATTTCCAAAATGAATTATTCAACAACATAACTAGGTTATGTTGCAGCAACTTTGGGGAGAATAGGTATTTATTCACGACCTGAATAAATTATGCAGTCACCAAAATGAAATTAAATGGCCATTGTTCGTCCAAATAATCTTGGGACATATAACATTTCACCTTCTGGTGCACCCTCTTCACATACCTAATGCGAAAAATTATGCATTAAAATTTGCCATTTCAATTTCTTTAGTCTTTGGCCTTGGCTAGTACCCTTGTAAAATAAGTGACCTAATTATAAAGTTGGTCATGGTCATTTTGCAAAAAATACTTTTATGTTTCAAAATATGTGATGAATGTGCACTAACTAGTGAAAATTTTATGAATAATAAGATTATTTTTATCAGTAAATTTACCTAATTGAGTTATTAGCCTTTTGTGTCTTTTACAATTTTATCTTCATTTCCAGATGTATGGCAATAAATAAAAGTTTCGCAAACGAATAACGATATATGGTTCTTCTTGTCACCGTTATCTAATTGGACCACCAAAACAGTCCCTTTTGGGACGCTGTTTTTGACAGTTTGGAAGTTTGACAGAGTACCATGAACATTACCTACTAGTTGTTGGCAGTTTGTCAGATATGTTCTTATTGAATCAATCGAAATATCTGTAATCCCTAATTTTTTCAAAAGTATTTCATGTAAGGCACAGTTTTGATTAGATCGCAAAGCTTTAGGGTAATTTGATTGGCTTACTCAAGTTCTTCAATCACGCCTATGGTTGCAAGGGTCGCTGATATGTATGGAAATGGTCGATTATCTCTTAAAGTAAGATAGCTAGCCAAAAATATTAAAATACAGAAGTTTTAGGGTTTTTCCAAATCCACCACACTAAATAAAAATTAGGTAAACAGGATAAGTCAAAAAGTCTTGAAGAAATAAAGTTGCTTTTTCTTCAATAGAACACCTTTTGTATTATTCCATATTTTCATCCTGATTGAAATTGTGAACAAAATTGATATAGCACATCATTTCCCATCGAATTTTGAAAATAACTTTTTACTACTCTTAAATTTATTAAAAAAAAAACACGAAATGATGGATATTTATTATGAAAGTCACACAAGGTGGAGTATGTGGACACAGTCAGACACCGAAACAGGTAAAACTAAATAAAAAATCTCCAACCCTGTAAACCCGCAAGATACCAATTTTGAATAGAATTAGACCATAATCACAAAACTTGTCCGCCATAATGGAGCCGCCATTTTGTTTTGTTTTTTTCTAACAAAAATTTCATAATGCATTTTAATCGGAATTATCTACATTCACCAAATTTCAAATCAATCGGATGATTAAAAATGTGTCAAATTCAACTTGCAAGATTTGATTACAGACACAGTCAGATACCGATACTAAATAAAATCTTGTAAAAATAAAAACTTCAACAAGTTGTTTTATTGAGTTACCAGTTAGTATTTTTTCTTTTTCAGGCAACATCACTTTGCCTGGTCTGAGTCCAAAATCATTAGGTAAGTGAAAAATTTTTGTGCAGCAGATATTTCGAACCACGATTTCTTAAACACAAATGGGCCAAGATCATTGGATGAGGACGAAAACATTTTCAACACAGTAGAGGACAGTTCTCTAGAGACCACCTAGGAGGAGGAGTCTGCAAATTCAAGTAAAGCATCAGAAACATCAAATGCACCTGCAGATCCAATAAATGATTTTTCCGCAACAGTGGAATCCTGCGCAGTAGTATACCTTGCTGGTTACTTAGTAAAAAAATGTTTAGACCGATTTAAATGTCGTGAATGTAGAGTTACTTTACAAAACGAGGAAGATTTGGCAGACGATGATGAGTTATTGACTTATTACAAAAATTACAATATTAAAAACTCAAGTGGTTTGAAAACGCCTTCAAATTGTATGAGGCAATTCACATAAGACAAACAGTATATCAAAAAATACTATGCCAAAATATTAGAGACAAAGCAAATAAACAACTTTTTATGTATCTTCCTGAATGGTTTGAGGCACAAGAAAAATGTAAAGAACACTGAAAATATATTGTTGATCTGTTGTTACGCACACAAGTTTTCAAATACTGTAAAGATATTTCAAGTAGAATAAAAACAAGGGCAGGGATAGAAAATGACAAACTTGGTATTTAAAAACATAATTAGTTATAGTAATCAAATACCAACTAAAACAAGCATTGCTACTGAATCCACTATATGAATAAATGAAATTTTTCTCAATTCATGGGTCTTAATACTTATTTTTTGCTTGTTAAGAGTGTGGACTACATATTTTGTGATTAATGTTTCTTTGTTTTTCATCTGTGTGCCTCTAAAGTTAAAACTGTTTATATATGTATATGCGTAACTGGTTTTATATATGTAAATATCTAATTTTTGATACATTAACAATTTTTTTTCATTCTCACATATTTTTTAGTTTCAGAATACTCTCTACAATATTGTGACGTACCTAAACAAAAAACTGTTGTGTGACTATTGTAACATATGTTTTCTGTAAAACTTTTTTGAAGGTGAATAAATATCTTATAAGAATTATATTATTATTATTTCTTTTTCATACTTCTGTCTTCTTTTTTTCGTTTTGACACAGAGACACACACAGATCATACAATATTTTTTTTTTAATTAGAAAAACTCTATGATGAAAAATTTCTAATTCCGCAATAATCTTTTAATTTTAACTGTGAATATTTCTTTTGGAGGGCATTTATATTGAATATTAAACATTCAGGAATTGATATCATAAAAAATTTGGAAAAGTCTAAAAGTAAAGATTTATTTTCATTGAGATGACTGATTGAAAGAAGAAATATATTTTGATAGACAAAAATATAATGGAAGTCTGTGTATAGTGAGATGCCATTCTGCATCATAAATATGTTAGGAATGCTTTCTGGTGAGTATATCTTTTGAACAGGCGCGGTCGCAGACCGAGATTTTGGGGTTGGCAACAACCAAAAATATTATTGAATTCCTATTTGATTCTATTTTTATAAAAGATTCATTATCTCCGACCTCTATTCCCCACATACCAATTTTGAATCGAATCTAACCATAATCACAAAACTCGTCCGCCATCTTGAATTTGAGAATTAAGAACCCCCACATATCAGTTTTCAATCGAATCGGATCAAAATCAGTAAACTTGTAGCCATCTTGGAGCCGCCATCTTGATTTTAGTAATCTTGACTATTAATTCATAATATCTGGCTCCAAAAACCCCCACAAACCAAAATCAGACCATAATCATATATCACGTCCATTTTGTTTCATTTGTCTGTAACAAAAATTTCTTAATGCATTGTCACGGAAATTATGAACATCTGCCAAATTTCAACGAGTAGTTGAACAAATTTCACCTCACAGGATTTGTTCAGAACAAACAGACAAGAAAGCGAGTCAATAAAAAAGTAATAAAAATCATGGCCCAAAAAGCACCTGTATA